CAGTGCGCACCCAGAGTCTATCATTAGAGCCACCATTATCTCCACACTGACCTCTGCCCCTCTTATTACATGCAAATAGGCCTTCTTTATGTGCACCCCAAACCAAACCCCCGCTCACAGAGAAAAGGGGTGCCCTCGGTGCCCTCAAAGACATTTCTCCATCTATCACCCATTCTCTGCCTCAATGCCGACCGAGAATCTCATGATCTCAACATTGAATGGGGACTATGCAGGAGGATTGGAAGCAAATAATTAAAAGTTTGTACCGAGGACTTCAAAACATGTAGTTAATGGACAAGGGTTTTGCTCTTGAATAGGTCCAGAGAAGGAACTATATGTTTGACTAATTTGAGGCTGCTGCAATTTCAAACAAGTAGTGCTTGATGAACCTCTGAAGTCGGTTTGAATGGTTGAGCACCTAGAAGATTACGGAAGAATATATGAAACTTTTAAAAACTTTCGTAAAGCTGGGCTGTCTGATTATCAAGTTTACAATGCATACATGCCATACATAGTTCAACCTGGAGAGACTACAAGAGACGAGATGCGTTTAAGAGTTGTTTATTTTATGGATTGAGTTTGTTTATTGGTTTGGAGCTTAGGCCCCGGCTGTGGCCGTGCTCTGAAGAGATCTGCGCCTGGGTGCAGATCATGATCCCCCGGGGCCTAGACACTGGTGGTGGCAACAAGGCAAGGTGAATGTGAGAGTGAAGAAATCCTGAGGCGGAGGTGGGGAGGAGGTGGTTGCAGCTTGAAGTCCGTTTGGTGAGCTGTGCTCTGCTTTGCTCTTAAACGCTGGCTTGATTGACACGGCTGCGGGGAGTTGATTAAGACAGGCTGAGTAAGGCGTGGTCTAGCTTGGTGGGATAACGTAGGTAGTCTACCATACTGAACCTCCGCTTAAGCTCCATTTCAACCTGGAGAGACTACAAGAGACGAGATGCGTTTAAGAGTTGTTTATTTTATGGATTGAGTTTGTTTATTGGTTTGGAGCTTAGGCCCCGGCTGTGGCCGTGCTCTGAAGAGATCTGCGCCTGGGTGCAGATCATGATCCCCAAAGAGAGAGCTTGGCTAGCGATGCGTTTGCCATGACTTGGTTGCTGCGTTTATGGAAGGCGCATGGTGTGAGTGAATGTTTCCGTGCGCGAGCTCGGCTCTAGCGCTAGGCGTTGGCACGCGCACGAGCTCGGCTCGAGTGCGCGGCGTAAGCTCGGCTCGAGTGCGCGGCGTAATGTCCGTGCGCGAGCTCGGCTCTAGCGCTAGGCGTTGGCACGCGCACGAGCTCGGCTCGATTGCGCGGCGTAATGTCCGTGCGCGAGCTCGGCTCTAGCGCTAGGCGTTGGCACGCGCACGAGCTCGGCTCGAGTGCGCGGCGTAATGTCCGTGCGCGAGCTCGGCTCTAGCGCTAGGCGTTGGCACGCGCACGAGCTCGGCTCAAGTGCGCGGCGTAATGTCCGTGCGCGTCGCTAGCTAGGCGTTGGCACGCGCACAAGCTCGGCTCGAGCGGCGTAATGTCCATGCGCGAGCTCGGCTCTAGCGCTAGGCGTTGGCACGCGCACGAGCTCGGCTCAAGTGCGCGGCGTAATGTCCGTGCGCGAGCTCGGCTCTAGCGCTAGGCGTTGGCACGCGCACGAGCTCGGCTCGATTGCGCGGCGTAATGTCCGTGCGCGAGCTCGGCTCTAGCGCTAGGCGTTGGCACGCGCACGAGCTCGGCTCGAGTGCGCGGCGTAATGTCCGTGCGCGAGCTCGGCTCTAGCGCTAGGCGTTGGCACGCGCACGAGCTCGGCTCGAGTGCGCGGCGTAATGTCCGTGCGCGAGCTCGGCTCTAGCGCTAGGCGTTGGCACGCGCACGAGCTCGGCTCGAGTGCGCGGCGTAATGTCCGTGCGCGAGCTCGGCTCTAGCGCTAGGCGTTGGCACGCGCACGAGCTCGGCTCGAGTGCGCGGCGTAATGTCCGTGCGCGAGCTCGGCTCTAGCGCTAGGCGTTGGCACGCGCAGGAGCTCGGCTCGAGTGCGCGGCATGCTGGAAATGAGGAGTTGCCACCACCAGGAGATGCATACGTACTTATATGAGACGAGGCGCTGGGCTGCCAGAACGGATGAATGTGGTAGAGAACCGGGGACCGAGCTCCTGGAGAGATGATTGAGGGAGTCCCAGGGCAGCAGCCCAAGTGGCTGCTCCTATCCGGAAGGAGTGGCGGGTGTAGAGAAAGGAAGAGAGGTTACATGCAGGGAGCACAGGTTTTGAATTTGTTCAGACCAGGGGGTCGTTGAGGGATTGTTTAAGGAGTAATTATAGTCTATGAATGTTGATAAAATGTCCATAGATGTTGTAGCATGTTAAAGTATCCTGGATCATCACCACGGGCCTTCTAGTTGGACACTAACTGTCCAGACCCTCCTGCATGGCAAGGAAAACTCACAAAACCCCGTGGGGAAAAAAGTGAGAAACCTTCGGAAGACCCTACATTGAGAGAGGGAATCCACTCCACGGACAGACAGGCTAGTCGTCCAGGACCTAAACTACAGAACAAGGACCATTGCCAATACTCCTTTAAGGATCTTCTTATGAGGGTGGAGCAGTGTGACTCGAAGTGGATTTTAGAGAATGTATTTAATGCCGATGTAGATGAGGCAGTGACAACAGTACCCGCGATGCTGATGTCCAGAGACTGAGAGTGTGCAGTGAGAGGGAAAGGAGAATGCTGAATGAAGGATGAACTGCTGGTGTTTAGAGCGCTGATATTCGAACATGATTCCACTTGGGGAGACTAGAAGGTGAAAATGAGATTCATGAAGTACACTTACCCAGGAAGATTGATGTTCGATAGGAGATCTCTGGACCCCCAAAAACCAACGCACAAGGGCCCGGTCAGAATGAGGGCCAGGGTGCGTCAGGTAAGGCGAAGCGTGAGACGGGCCCGGCGGCAGGAGGCGCACCAGGAGACCAGGAGAGAATATGCCTGGGGAACATGAGAAGGAGCACCGCCTACAGCCACTCAGAGTGCACGCAAACCGTGGCGGGCAGTGCTGCACCCAAAAGCCAATGAGTGCGGCCTGGGGAAGATAGCCGGCCAGGTTTGAAGGCCACGCCGAACAGTACTCATGCAGTCTTAGCAGGCCAGCGTTGCAGCAGGCCACCGTCGCGGCGTTGTAGCAGAGTTTTGGTGCGGCGTTGCGGCATCGCGTTCCTGCGAAGCTGAAAAGAGAAACCTCGAACCACTATCACTCGAGTGAAAAGGACCAACGGGCAGTGTCAGACCACGTCTTCAGTCAGACCACGTCTTCAGTCAGACCACGACTTCAGTCAGACCACGTCTTCAGTCAGACCACGTCTTCAGTCAGACCACGACTTCAGTCAGACCACGTCTTCAGTCAGACCACGTCTTCAGTCAGACCACGTCTTCAGTCAGACCACGTCTTCAGTCAGACCACGTCTTCAGTCAGACCACGTCTTCAGTCAGACCACGTCTTCAGTCAGACCACGTCTTCAGTCAGACCACGTCTTCAGTCAGACCATGTCTTCAGTCAGACCACTGACCTGATCCGTCGATGCCGGCTCTTCCCGTCATTGTGAAGCAGAACTCTCCAAGCGTTGGATTGTTCACCCCCCAATAGGGTACGCGAGTCCATGGTCGACACTGGTCCCACGATGAATGGATGAGAGCACACGAATGCGTCGAAGCGTGGCGTCGAGAATGCGGCAGGAGGCGGACACCGACGTGGCGTCAAACAGCGGCCACCGGCGATGAAGCGTGCGGCCGCCGACGTGCTGCGATGAAGCGTGCGGCCGCCGACGAGCTGCGATGAAGCGTGCGGCCGCCGACGAGCTGCGATGAAGCGTGCGGCCGCGGACGTGCGCCGTCGTTGAAGCGCGCGGCGTCGTTGAGGCGCGCGGCGTCGTCGTTGAGGCGCGCGGCGTCGTTGAGGCGCGCGGCGTCGTTGAGGCGCACGGCGTCGTTGAGGCGCGCGGCGTCGTTGAGGCGCGCGGCGTCGTTGAGGCGCGCGGCGTCGTTGAGGCGCGCGGCGTCGTTGAGGCGCGCGGCGTTGTCAAAGCGCGCGGCGTCAAAGCGCGCGGCGTCAAAGCGCGCGGCGTCAAAGCGCGCGGCGTCAAAGCGCGCGGCGTCGTTGAGGCGTGCGGCGTCGTTGAGGCGTGCGGCGTCGTTGAGGCGTGCGCCGTCGTTGAGGCGTGCGGCGTCGTTGAGGCGTGCGGCGTCGTTGAGGCGTGCGGCGTCGTTGAGGAGTGCGGCGTCGTTGAGGCGTGCGGCGTCAAAGCGTGCGGCGTCAAAGCGTGCGGGAGGAGTCGAAGCGTGCGGCGTCAAAGCGTGCGGCGTCAAAGCGTGCGGCGTGGAGGAGGAGTCAAAGCGTGCGGCGTCAAAGCGTGCGGGAGGAGTCGAAGCGTGCGGCGTCAAAGCGTGCGGCGTGGAGGAGGAGTCAAAGCGTGCGGCGTCAAAGCGTGCGGCGTGGAGGAGGAGTCAAAGCGTGGCGTCGAAGCGTGGCGTCGAAGCGTGGCGTCGAAGCGTGGCGTCGAAGCGTGGCGTCGAAGCGTGGCGTTGAAGTGGTGTAAGGCCAGAGCACTGGGCAAATGAACAGCACAGAGGGGCTCGGCCGCGCACCGACCAATCAGATCAATGCAGTGGACAAAACTTACAGTCCACGGTCAATTTAGACAGCGCGAAGGCCAATGCAGACGACAAATGTTATAGTCCATGGTTACACCTGACAGCCTGAAGGTCAATGCAGTGGGTAAAATGTTCAGTCCATAGTAAAACGGACAGCCTGGAGGCCACTGCAGTGTGTAGAATGTTCAGCCCATGAGTAAAACGGACAGCCAGAAGGCCAACACAGTGGTTAAAATGTACGGTCCATGGTGAAAACGGACAGTCTAAATGCCAATGCAGATGGTAAAACGAACAGCCTGAAGAGCAATGCAGCGGGTAAAAACACAGCCTGCGAGACAATTCGGCGGGATTAACTGACACGCCGCAGTTCAGTACGTTCATGGTAGTGCGGAAAACACGAAACCGACACTGTACCGTGAGTGGAGGCAGGGAGACGGGTGGACAGCGGCAGGCAGACAACGGCAGGCAGACAGAAGTCCCGTGCCCGGTATGGAAGCTGCAGGGTGCACGGAGTAACGCCTGGCCGCGAGTAGCAGCGGCCACGGGGAGACGAGCGGCAGCGAGTCCGCAGGAGAGGAGCCGCGGTGAGCCGCAGTGGAGACACAGCGACCATGGCGCGCAGCCCCAAACATGTGATGTGGAAGAGGAGCCGCGACCATGCAGGACGAACAATGTGCGAGGCGTGAGTAACAAGGTGACGAAGAGCAACCCATTGCAGCTTGAAGTCCGTTTGGTGAGCTGTGCTCTGCTTTGCTCTTAAACGCTGGCTTGATTGACACGGCTGCGGGGAGTTGATTAAGACAGGCTGAGTAAGGCGTGGTCTAGCTTGGTGGGATAACGTAGGTAGTCTACCATACTGAACCTCCGCTTAAGCTCCATTTCATCGCTCTCAAAACAGTTTAGTACTATCATTTAGTTTTCACATGCATGTATTTTTGTCCACTGTCACATCATAATAGCAGCCCATCAACAGAAAAAAAAAAAATAAAAAACAAGCTCACACATCAAAGTGTAAAATATGGAGAAACTTAGAATATTGTTCAAAAGTCTATTTACTTCTGTCAGGACACACAGAGTGAGATATATCACGTTTTCCTTTGTTATAATGTTGTTAATTGGCTTACAGCTTGTAAAACCACCTCAAAAAAAACAAAAACCGTTTCAAAAAATTATAATTATTTTAAAATTGACTGTAAGCCATAATCATCAGATTCAGATTCATGTTGTTGGACAAACCAAACGCATTATTTATTGATTATTATACGGCTCCTCAGAGCAGCAGTAGAACGCTCCATTGATTTGAATGTAATTTCAAAACGTTCTACCGGTCATTATTTTCTATAACGGACCTCTCAAAACAATAATGACCGCTGCCCATGGCAACGCACTCTCTGCTTGTATTTCAAATGCGTGGATAACTCCGCAAGTAGTTCCGGCACTCCTGAGCTAGCCACGCTCAATCAACACACTTAAATGTTAATCGGAGAATACTTATACATATACATTCTTCACACACGTGCACAGAAATTTTCAGAATTTTCTGGTCTTGTCTTCATGACAAAAATACTATTTCTCTGCGTCAAAAAGCGATCGTGAAAAACCCGGAAGTAGTTCTGGCCGCTCAATATACGCAAATGCCAATCAATCAACGCAATGAAATGTTTATCGGAGAGTGAATTATACATATCCAGTCTTAATACAAGTGCACGGAAGTTTTCAGAATTTTCCGTTTACGTTTTCATGACAAAAACACTGATGTAATGCGAGAAAAGGCGATCCCGAAAAACCCGGAAGTAGATACCGGCACATTTTAAGATACCGGCACATTTTCGGACACATTTGCAGAGGATCGATTTAGGTTAGGTTTATGTATGGGTCACTCACCGCTGATGTTCAGAATTCTTTGTTCAGTTTTCATGCAGTTCCAGAGAGTTCTAGTTTGGAAGTTGCCAGCCTAACTGTTGCTAGCATAGCCACACTGCCTGCCCGCGGTTGCCGAGCAACGGGAAAACTTTTTGGGACTACTTTATTTGTTGTCATTAAATAAACTTTTGGCATTCATAAAAGTGATCTGAAGTTTATTTTGTGTGTTAAGTTGGTACAAAGCAGTATAATAAGCGGGATAATGTATAGCATACAGGTCATTATCGGAAAATAAGTACCGACAGGGCGAAGCGGACCCCGACGCGCAGCGGAGGGGTCTGCTTCCGCCCTGAAGGTACTTATTTTCCGATAATGACCTGTATGCTATACATTATCCCTTACATAATTTTGAATCATAATCTCTCCGAGCACAGACTTTTGTTCTGTAAAGTTGTATTTAAATTTACGTTGACTTAAAACATGGACACATCACAAATGTAACATTGCACCCACGGTTCATCAAAACATCCCGCCAGCCTATATTATGTTTTATTGAAGGTCATTTCTGTCTTCACTTCATCCGCTGTTCACAAAAGCAAGACATAAATCCAACTCTCTATAAACAGAATCACATTTTCAAGAGGTCCAATCCAACAAAAAGCCAAACAAATCACAAGTTTTGAAGCTGCACCAACCACTCCAAAGCACACACACACACCCACACACACACGCACACACGCACGCACACACACACACACACACACCAGCTGCTGCCAAACTTCCACACATTTACCAAGAATAACTTTAGCTTTTTCTCTGTCACTTCCCTGCTTCTCCTTCCTTCTCCCTCTTCCCATTGTCCTCTGCTTCTCTCGCATCTCTACTCCCTCTCAATTCCGTCTCTCTTCCCCTCTTCTCCTGCTTCTCTCTCATCTCTTCCCTCCCTCTTCCCGTCTCTCCTCCCTCCCTCTTCTTTCTCTTCCCCTCTTCCCTTGCTTCTCTCCCATCTCTTCCCTCCCTCTTCCCCTGCTTTTCTCCAAACTCTTCCCCTCATCTCCTGCTTCGCTCCCATCTCTTCTTTCCTTCTCCCTCTCTTCCCCTGCCTATCTCCCATATCTTCATTTTCTCTTCCCTCCCTCTATCCCTCTTCTTCTACCTCTCTCCCATCTCTCCCCTCCCTCTCCTTCCCCTCATCCTCTTCCTCTCTCCCATCTCTCCCCTCCCTTTCCCCCTCTTCATCTGCTTCCCTCCTATCTCTTCCCTCTTCCCCACTTCCCTCTCTTCTTTGGCTTCTCCCCCACCTCTTCCTCCTCTCTCCCCCTCTTTTTTTGCTTCTCTCACAACTCTTCCCCTCTACCCTCACTTCTTCGGCTTCTCCCACATCTCTTCCCTTCCTTACCCCTCTTCCTCTGCTTATCTCCCATCTCTTCCCCTCTACCTCCACTTCTTCGGCTTCTCCCCCATCTCTTCCCCCTCTTTCCCCTCTCATCTTCTGCTTCCCCCCATCTCTTCCTTCCCTCTCCCCCTCTTCCTCTGCTTCTCTCCCATCTCTTCCCCTCTTCCTCTGCTTCTCTCCCATCTCTTCCCCTGCTTCTCTCCCATCTCTCCCCCTCTTCCTCTGCTTCTCTCCCATCTCTTCCCCTGCTTCTCTCCCATCTCTTCCCCTGCTTCTCTCCCATCTCTCCCCCTCTTCCCCTGCTTCTCTCCCATCTCTTCCCCTCTGCTTCTCTCCCATCTCTTCCTCTGCTTCTCTCCCATCTCTCCCCCTCTTCCCCTGCTTCTCTCCCATCTCTCCCCCTCTTCCCCTGCTTCTCTCCCATCTCTCCCCCTCTTCCTCTGCTTCTCTCCCATCTCTTCCTCTGCTTCTCTCCCATCTCTCCCCCTCTTCCTCTGCTTCTCTCCCATCTCTCCCCCTCTTCCCCTGCTTCTCTCCCATCTCTCCCCCTCTTCCCCTGCGTCTCTCCCATCTCTTCCCATCTCTGCTTCTCTTCCCCTCTTCCCCTGCTTCTCTCCCATCTCTTCCCCTCTTCCTCTGCTTCTCTCCCATCTCTTCCCCTCTTCCTCTGCTTCTCTCCCATCTCTTCCCCTCTTCCCATGCTTCTCTTCCATCTCTTGCGTGCCTTGTCAGACCCGGTAAAGCAGCGGTGCAGTTTGTGGGTTGCGTGTTAGCTCCATAAGGCAGCGCTGTACCTGGATTGTGCCGCGGGTCAGTGTTTGGAGCTGGCGGGGGCTTTTCCGTGACTGTTCCTCCTGGCGCACACCTGGATGCTGTCACCGCTCTCCGTCTGCAGCTTGACATTTGGTACGGTGAAGATAGAAGACACTGTGAGGCAAGAGAAAAAAAATAGGAGAAAAGATTACAGTATGTCAAACTCCACTATAAAAATAACTGTGCTTTAGGGCCTTTATGAATGAGGTTTTATTTGGGGGAAGAGATAGTGCGACATCATTACACAAGCACACAGAGAGACATTGACGACTGAGAGTTGAGCAGTCTTTTTTTGATAGTTTTGATGTAATATGGGCCTTTCTGAGTGGAGTTTGCATGTTCTCCCCATGTCTGTGTAGGTTTCCTCCGGGTGCATCGGTTACCCCTACCACTAAAAACATGTATAATAGATCTGTACTGGCGACCCCACTCCCATCTCTGTATGGAGTGACAAACAAATGTCCACAACTGTAAACCGCTTTGTGACTCTGGTCTGTGAAAGGCGCTATATAAATAAAGATGACTTAATAACTAAAAATAATTGTGTCAGACTGTACAACAGACCTGTCCGGGTTAAAAATATACACTATGCACTATTCACTATCACCACCAACACTGGTCATCAACTCATTTCACCACAGCCCTAATCCCAGCCACCATCTTTTGTGTATTTTAATGCACCACACATTAAGAAATAGAAATTTGCAAAGGAAAAAAGTTAATAAATACACACACAAATGCTTAATGTTTTCTTAATATCTGTATTTCTTGGTATGTTCCCTTGTTTGTTGCCACTTCACAATGTCTTTTTTTTAGTAATTTTGTACTAATTACTTACAACGTAACCAATCAGACCACTATATGACATTATTTTATTGAATTCTTTTAGATTCAGATTGAGAGAACTTGAGACATCCTCATTGAAATGTAACTGTTTTTATAATCTGTAATCTTATGAAATTGTATGTGATTTATTATATAATCTGTAACTGTATGTAACTGTTTTTAATCTGTAATTGTATGTAACTTTTGTCCAGGACTCCGTTGAAAAAGAGGTTCTTAATCTCAATGGGACTTTCCTGGTTAATTAAAGGTGAAAAAAAAATGCTCTTTCTGTCTTACTAGTTTATTTTTAAGAAAGAGAGTCACCATTTGACGGTTTAGGTTGAGAGGTGATTGGCCGAGAGAGGTTGGCCCACTCTATTTCACGGTTCTGTCTGAAAATGATGTAAAGCTGTGACAGAGCCCAGAGATGACGTACATGTGAATACTAGTAATCAAACCAAAACATTTTAAGACAGATTTGATAACATATTTAATTTTTTTGTGATTTGAAAGTTAGGTAGCCTAGCTTTAACAATAGTATCAACCAACACATGGATTACATCACACAATATATGAATCCAAAATCGCTTCCTGAAAACGTCCTTGAGCTGCCCTTGAGAGCTGTGAGATGGAAACGGGAGGAAAATGCAGGAAGGTTTGAAGTGAAAGTCGTCGACACATCTCCTGATACTAATAAAACTGCAGTAGAGCCAAACACATATTGCAGAATTGGCTTGAAATCATAAGATCTGGCAACAAAATGTTCTTGCTTTTTTATTTTTGAACCGGAGCTTGTAAGACAGACCACCTCCCTAGCAACGTATAGGTCAGAATAGCTGTGCATTTGACTATTTTTAAAGCATTTATGTTTTGATTTTGATCTTTTTTCATATATATTTGCACTGCTTTCATATTTTATGGCTTTTCATATATATGTGCTTTATAAATACATGTGATTGATTGGTTGTTCATAATAATAAGTCAATGCTTTTAATACAGATTTGTTTACAGTCATTCAAAACAATGTTATGTCAAAGTTATTTTTATAGACATGGAAAGAAAAATCTCACAATTACATCCTTGAGCAGTTCATACAATTACTGTTGTGTGTACTTTAGATTCAGATTAGACTAGATTTTTACTTTATATTCATACTTTTCCATAGAACAATGCAACAAAGTGCCGTTTAGCTTCTCAGTGGCTGCATTGTAAATTCCCATGCATAAACTGAACTCCTATAATAAATCCTAAAATGTAAAAAAGTAAACATTTCCTTGCAAAGTTCTGCGATTACTTTAGAATGAACTGAAGTGAACTCCTCTTCAGCCTCTGTTGTCACTCCCCCTCCTCTGCACTGATCCGCTGTATCCAAACTACATCAATTGTTCCTCATACACGCGTGAATCCGGAGAGATATTTCATTTGCCCTTTTCCGTTCTTCTCCCTTTTGCTGTCGGACGCCCACATACTCTCTCAAATCAAATTAAAAATGTCACCATCCGATCCGTGCAGTAACAGCGACCTCAGGAGTCCCTTTGTCTTGTATAATTCTGTCTTTGTGCGCAGTAATCTGGTCCTCTATTGTCTGCATTAATCCATAACACACGGGAGAATAGGGCGCGCAGTTGGTCGCTCCAAACATACTGTTAATCTGAGCTGGGATTGGCACACTCCACGTTGACTTCATCAGGGGTGACACTTCCTTTGGCCCGGCTAAGTTTCTTATAGTGGGAGCACAACATGTATGGATATATATGTGTATGGAAGAGCTCATTTTCCAAAATAGATAGCTCCATTTAAAAAAATATATGTCAAAAATATGTATTCCACTGCTAAAATCACCATGTTTTGTTATCGGAAGTACATTTGAAAGGATTTGCTCAAGAAGGGGTGAAACTTCAATTGTATGGCACTAGAATAGATAGAATTTTTATTTTATTTTGTCTAACGGCACTTAGAAATGAAAGAAAAACTATTCACAGTTCATAAAAATAAAAATAAACATATCTCTTTTAAAAATATATCAAAAAGTTACCTTCCTCTAGAATCTTATATGTTTAATTTCACATCTTCCCATAAGCTTCTTGTAGGTGCGGCGTCTTTATTCTTTGAGTACGATGACGTTGGACAATATTCCTCACTAGCCCATACGTGAAAGGAGCAATACGAATAAACTTTACTTACTTACGCATAAACACCATAATACATGAGAAGAACAGTAGCGAAAATATACAAGAAGCTACAGCCTCCATGTTTAACTAATGGAGTTGTTCTAAAAGACGTTTATGCTTTGTTATCAGCAGGACATTTGAAAGGACTTGCTCAAGACAGGGTGAAATGTTATTCGTATGGCACTAAAATAGATCTGGCTTTTCAAAGAACTATTTGGTAAAACGCAAATTGTAAGACTTTAAAAATATACAGTATATATATTCTAATGGTACTTATCCGTTTTTGATAAAGAATGGTTCTATTTTTTACAATTAAAGATGTTTATTAGGGACAGAACAGAAAGCATTGTTACAGGTAACCGATGTCATGTTCATAGGCCATTAAACTAACGGCTCTTTTGCAGACCTCGTCCCTAAGACACAAAAATACATCACAACTAATTTTCTATTTTCACACTTGCACTGACTGCATCCAACAATATCAAGTGGAAAAACACAAATGTAAATATGTTTTCAGATGAGGGTTCACACATAACTTGTCTTGTGGGCTGGATTTGAGTTAGGCACACATTAAAAAGAAAGGCTGGTACTTTTACTTAACCCTCCCTCTGTAAACAAAGATAAAACCTTAGAATAAAATACAATTACACAGATCTATCTACTCAGGACACAACTGTGACTGGAAAAAACAAGTAGATACTTACTGGGCTAATCAAGAGGAAGGCCTACAGTATGATATTTTTTAAGTGAGCACCTTATAAATTACTTACTTAATTAAATCTGGTGGAAAAAAACACTTTTTGGGGGAATTTCTTGGAATTCCATTGGTTAGAATGTGAGCAGTCCAAATGACAGATCTGGGATAATTCCGGGAGTCCTATAGTGTGAATACAAAACACCAGGTACATTGCCTTTAAATTAATCCAATGTTGATTAGATACAATTGAAAGGGATGGTTTAAAACTAAGTATTTTCTTCCTCTGGTTTCTGGTCCTGGTGCACACTTCCTAAACCGCTGTAATTAAACGGTGCGGGGAGGTCTAGCAGCACGTCCTGACTCAGTATGCTGCTATTTGCATAAACCCCCGCCAAATGCTCACCAAGCATTAATTGGCTACATGTTTATCTCCCGTCTTCAAATCATTTGCATAATTTAGATTTTTTTTTCTCCCGTTTTTGCCACTACATAAAAACTTCACAAATACACACCTTTTTTTTTTTTTTTTTTTACTGAGGTGTTACTCACGGCGGTTCTCATTTGCCACAACTATTATAATTCCACTCGGCTGCATTGAGCTTGATAAAGGCAACCCGAGAAGAAAGCGACAGACGGGGCAACCAAACATGACAAAAATCAAAAATGAGTCATGGCTGTCTGCACCGGTGACCGCTCTCTCATTCAAACTCACGAGCCAACCTGCTGAGAGCTGATAACAGGATTAATAGAGAATGAATAATCCTAATCGCTGGGAATTAAAAGCGGAATAGTACAGTTAAAATTACAGTAGAGTCAGAGGCAGGTTCGCACAGACAGCCATTGAATGCAACACGCTTAAAGGATTGGTGATGTACAGAAGTGTAACATGTCACTAATTTGAAACTTGGCCAAACGCTGACACATGACTATAACCTCATTCTGTAGGATTAATTGAAATGTTGTAGAGGATTAAATTCAGCCCTGGCTCTTTCACGTAATACTTGAGGTTTTAGTGTCGTAGTATATGTAAAAACCTCGACGTTATGTAAGACTGTTCCACCTCCACGAATGCTCAAGGAAAACGCTTCTACTCATGTGAGAAAAAAGGCCTTGCACATGCCATATACCATTTTAAAGCATAGAACTTCTAGAATTGTGTACATAGTGAGGAAGTAAGCAAAAGTCATTCAGGCAACACAAATAAGCTACAAAACAAAAAATCAATATGTTCATGTTTTACAGTCATACGTAGGTGTTAAGTGCCTTGGAAATAAACTGTGTTAGCTGTTGTTGTTTGTTAGCATCTTCAGCTAATGCTATTCTATCCTTACAATATCCTTACATTCAAGATAGAAGAAGAAGAAGAAAATACATAACCTAACATAACCTAACATACATCGAGGGTACATTATGAAGGTGCAACACGCAGTTACTGTTTGAACTGATGTAAAATGGAACCAAATAGAGAGAAGAGATCAAGGCCAATGATATGAATAATATTTACCTATTTAAATACTAATTTTGTGGTGGTGTGAGGGTTCTTTTCACAATACAGATGGCCGGGTCGGAAAGGCCGTTTTCAGAGGTTTTTAATTAAAAACTCTCAGTAGGAAAAACAGTGGGAAATGTACAAAAACTTATTTACAGAGCACAATGAACAGTCTTCAGGCAAAAAGGATATTTACAAATAAAAATATACACGCCTTCTGCAATAAGTCTCTTTTCCCTAAGCTTTTACACTCGCTCCTGCAGTCCACGTTACCTTTACTGTAACTAAGTGACGACTGCCATGGGACAGACAAGCACATCTTATGTACCCTGCTGGCCCCTCCCACATTACAAATCAATCATCCTAATAACAGACCATATCTACAATACATGGCGCTTTCCTTAGGTTCATGATTATAGATTTACACTTTGGTACATACACACAAAATTAATTTCAAGCTACACATTAATGTCCATGCGCACCACGGAGACGCCACGACACAGGCGAGTGAATGACACACGAGATGTAACTGCAACATGCATGCAACGCTTCCAAGTGTGCACCCTGAAAACTCGTTCACGCACGCTACATGTCAAACACAGTCCTTATACAGCAGTCAATGAATGGGTTTGGGCGCGGCGCGCAGCCACCATGGCACCGGGCGCGCGCAGTCTCACATGGGCTCCGTGGGACAGCGTGCTCAGGGATGGGCTCACCCCGTCACAGGTGGGTTGAAATTTTATGATCGAATATGGTCAGTTGAAAAGTTTGACATGCCTGAGATACATGTATATGATTATTTTTGGGGGAGAGGGGACCAATCGGCACTAGAATAAATGAAAAATCTGTCAAAAAAATCCATAACAGGTTTTTCCTAATATTCTACACCTCCTCAAAAAGGCCCAGCGTAGTCATGAGCAGTTGGCACACCCTCCACCAGAAAGAATACACATGGTGATGGTCCTATTTGCATTCTTGGTTGATACTAAACAGCCCACTTAGAGAAAGCCTGGTCTAGTGTGTCTGTATTCCTTGCTGCATTTATATTAAGAGTCATGTAAACAAGACATAAGCTGGTCTGAACTATTTTTTCAATAGAAAATGTGGTAAAGTATTTTGTTAAAATGACTGGTATTTTTCTGCTAACCCATATTCAGTGCGCAGATGCTGTGGGCTAATAAGTGAATCTAATGGAGAATCCAATGGAGCGTGTTAGAGGGGCCAGCAGGCTTACTGTCCAGCAGGCAGCTCTATAATAACACAGTCTCTGCATGAGCAAAACAACCCCAGGAAAGCAGCACCCAGGCACGGGGAGAGGAACAGGGCGAGTCATGGGACCAAACAAGACCAAAACCGGGGAATAGTGGAGGGGGTGGAAAAGAAATGTGTTAAGTCCAAAGACACATGATAAAACACTGACCATTATAGAAAAGGGTTAGCATACTATTTTAGGTTAATCCCTTATTACGTCAATGTAGAAAATGTAGCAAATTAAAAAACTATAACCATAAAAAAATCGGATGAACCTGGAATAGTTTAAGTGAACTTCGCACTTATACAAAAGAAATCCAAACATTTTTAAAAACAGGTATTTCTCATGGGTCCCGTCCGGAGCTTTGATACAAGTCCCAAATATCATTTCCAGTGGCATTTGGAAATAGTTTAAAACCAAAATGTGGTCATTCAATCAAATAGATCGTATCCCCAGACATCAGCTACACCCTCCTTTATATTTACCACGGAAAATGTAAGATAACTTGGGAATTATATTCAGTGCAGTAATTGTTCCTACTTATAATGAAGGTAAATGAGTCATCAGAAGACAAGACTCCAAAGGGCACTCACACAGATACTTTCACTGAATTTTGGAGGAGTTTTAGAAAGAAAAGGTCAGTGTAGTGAGGGTTGTTGATCTTCTGGTGTGTACTTACTGTCTTGCAGCTCACAGAGCCGTGGAGGCATGTTGCTGAAGTACTCGTGCTGCAGCGCCGCTTGAGCCGACAGCCGGTTCTTTGGGAAGCACTGGAGGAACCTGGAGGCCAACTCCTCAGCATGGTCCACGTAACCCAACCTGGAAACACAGCCACAGAGCACTGTCAGCAAACACAAAGCACAGAATAAACTCTGGAATCTAGAGCAGGAATATGAAGTTTACTCTCACTTGTGAGACAGTGGTGGGGGAGACAGTGACAAAGCTGTTTATAATATGAAGCATTGTTTATTTCTTCCTCAAATGAACCACATCAGTCACTCAATCACAACCTGCTGAATGTGGGTGGGTGGAGTAACTTTCCAAAGAACACAAGAATACACACAAACATAGGAACTGGAGAGAGAAGGCTCTTTCATTATTTTGCAACCACAGAACCAACCAGAGTCAATGAAATAATAGGTATTCATTCATCTATAGCAGAAGTATCTCTGTAAAATAAGATATTTCTGCTGACTGAGATCAAACTGACTTTGTAGAAAGTAAAATAAACCATTCAGAAATTAATATTGTACACTGAGATAATATATTAAGAACTGAACTTAACAGGTGACAAAGAAAACACGCATTTTAAGAGATTTAAATATCCGTGTTCAACTATATTCTTTGCTGTTTTATGATTTATTATAACCCAGTAGGTATCATATTTGTACAATATGCCGGGAATGGCCTTTAGATTCCTAACCACAATGTACAGTTCATATTATCCATTCTGCTGACCAGCTTTTTAATTAATTAGTAAGTAAGTTCAATAATTACACTGCATGGTCTGCTGACTCGGTGGAAAAATGGAAATCTCTATTACAGAGGCATGGTGCCGCTCTCACCACAAACAAGGCATCAAAGCTGGCAGCATGCATGTTATAACACAGTCCTAACCAGTACACATAACTGGAAACAGCGACGGGAGTCAGTGAACTCCTGAACCAGCCTTGCATCACCTACAATAACTGCAGGGAGAAGACAGTGAGAAGAAATGACAAGATACAGTCAGTAATTAGACATCGAGCACATGAAATAAACATGATGTTATTGGGGTAGTGTCTCTTATGTTACTATGGGCTGGATTCACTGCACTAGCAATTTGACAGTCACTCCCAGGGCTCTTAATAGGGATCTGAAGCTTCGAGGGGGGATCAACACGGCAGAGGAAAAAGGGGGAGAATTAACAAAGTCCATCAGGGCCTGAGGTCTGTCCTGGTCTCACAAGGATCCCACGTTCAAGAGAAGATGACACAGAAAAACTACACATACCAGAGTGCCAGGGTGAAAGTGGAGATTAGGACTTAAATGGCGAGGATTAAGACAGGAGACCAATGTAGAAGGAGGCTTTAGATGCAAATTATGAGATCCGTATCTTTAAAATAGGTTTAGTACAATCATTGTGGAAAATGAGCTATTAATAGAAATTGTATATTGGCAGTTGTAATAGCAGTAGCAGAGGCAGTTAGTGACCAATCTCACACACCATATTCTGGAATAAAACATAAGTGGGACCGCACAAAGGCTCTGGGTACCGCAGCGAGATAGCACTAATGAATTGTTTCATGTTTTGGTTAATTGACTTTTGTAGCTTTCCATTTCATGTCTCTTCTGCAAAATCCACACGTTTTGAACTGAAGTTGAGAGGAAAATTATGGAACGTTTGTGTTTGTCAAGTTAATTTGCATATTTTGGCATAAAATGTGCTGTACTTTGTGAAACATGAAGCAGTACAGAAATAAATATATTCATGTAACTCATAGTAGTTCTGGGCAATCTTTTTTTTATCAAGCACAATTAATCACTTTTTAAATTAAATTAAAGAAAAATCTAACTGGTATGAAAAATACAAAATGTACTCATACTAAAATGGTTTCTGTGAATCACATTATGCAGAGAAAGGTGAGGACATATGAGTGAGTAGAGGTAAAATATGACCCCATGTTATTTCTCCCAAACATAATGTTTCTCACTTGTAATGAGTTCTTTATGGCTTGTTGTAGTCTCTGAAAGTGACCAAAGTCACTCGTCATTCGGTCCAGACTCAGTGGTGACAGAAGCGGTCTGTTCCATCGGCCCCTCCGACCACCACCACCATCACTCACCAGATTCATACTGTTGTGCTTCCTCCAGAGCACCCATCCAGACACACAGAGAAACGTGGAAACTCTAAAGGTAGAGATTTCTCCAATTCCACCTACGTACAGAGCCTTGCTGTGGGGAGTTAGCGTATTCCCTGTGTCTGGGAAGGTTTCCTCCAGGTGCTGGAGTTTCCCTCAACACCAATATACCTCCTATATGGCGATCCTGCCCCATCACTGTGTGGAGAACTGTAGCCACAACTTCTCTGGGGACCACTGACAGAACCAACCATTCACATACACACACACACACCAGACTTATAGGCTATGGGTGGGTGAAGTGTCTTGCCAAAAGACACCATGACAATATGTCACTTGCCGTCCCACTGTGTTCCCATCACACCAGGCCCTGCCATGCTGAGCTTCAGAGAACTGACGAGTTCTGGCTTTCACATGCAAAACATGGAAAACCCTTGTAAAATATACCATAATACTGTATAACCCTATATTTATACTTATAATAGATATGTAATGACTCAAAAGTGACTCATTCAAGAGCATGTCACTGTGTTGAATTCTAACTCCTCTGGTGAGCTACTGGAAGCTCCCGTGCTACAGGTTGGAGACCCCTGATGTACAATAAAGCATAGACGTATGAACTTTGTTGTGTTCTACTCCATAGAAAAACAGAACAATGGATATCCCTCAGTGACACTGGAACTATAGCTGCTATTCTGAAGTCACATCAACCAGGTGGGCCGCCGACTCCCGCATTAGAACATTCATACACAGTACATGTCTTCTTGCTGCACTTTGCCACACTGTCTTTCGGAAACATTGCCTCTCCTCTTCTCTTCCATTGTTCTGGCATGCAGGCTGACATATAAAGCCAGGGCCGGGTGATCTTTTCAAGCTGGTGATGCAGATCTAGCATGCATTCCTTCTTGCTATTTCCATCAACTGGAACACTGTGAATAAGTGCACATCTGGCACCAGCGATAGCCATCTACAAAGACTACCACGCAGCTGCAGGTGATGACACATTTACAGCAACCAGCATTCCTTCGGCAATGGTGCGGAGCCGTTAGAGCGTATTCACCCACAAAACAAAGCTACATGGAGGTATAGGGGAAGTCTTGAGGGAGATGGATGGATGACCTCGGACAACTTTCTGTAGCGAGAAGTACATTGGAAATATCCTTTGACTTGCTTTCACCACGCAGAACACGACCGGTGATAAGAAAGAAATACGTTAAAGAGGCAAGTGGTGCAAGCAGGTTGGAGCAAGAACATGTTAAAAAGCTGTCAGTTCAATCGGCCATATGGACAAGTGAGGCATGGTGTTGTGTTTGGACCAAAGAAGTGTAGACAACACGAGCATGGACTATACTCGCTACATCGTGATATGGAGGCGTTTCCTCACCGCCTCGTCTCGTCTTCTGATTGGCTACACGCCGCAGTCATGGCAACGCGCACGTCTGTCCTCGGGGGACACCACACACGAAGAGAAATCGGGCCAAAACAATCCAACATGTTGGATATCCCCGATTTGAGATCGGGAGCAGTCCCGATGTCCTTCCGAGCGACGAGTGCAGTCTTAACACACCACACACGGCAGGATAATCTGTAAGATTTTGTTACGGAAATCGGAGCGTTTAAGATTGTCGTAAGGGGTAAATCGGGTCTAAATCGGCCTAAATATCCTGCCGTGTGAACCAGGCTTTAGATAGAGTCCCATTGAGTCACTTTCTGGGCTGAGAGCTGATTGGCTGAGGGCTGGTGGTCATCTCTTTTTCCCTTTTCTGATTTTGAAAAGGCTGGGGTAAAGATGTGACAGAAATACATCTATGTGAAAGCCAGCAAACAAGTGAGGAACTAGTTACAATGTGTAATGGTGGGGACTTTTTGATGATTATGTTTTTATTTATGTTTTTATTTTACAGTTTTATTTTGATATATAATAATGTTCTTGAGTTTCACTTTTGGCCTGTCCTGTTGATTGTTTGCCCCGCCCTGATGTATTAGACTGTGTCTCCCTCTGAGCATTAAGACCCTGTGCTGTCCTCTTGTTCATTGAATTTCCCCTGCATCTAGTTCCTGGTTTCAGTTTTAACTTTTGGAAGTATTTTTCTAGTGGCATTCATTATATACGATTATTTTGCAGTTCTGCTTTTGGGTCCTTTTCTTTTACTCCGTGACACATTGATTTTAAAACATAGTTAAATTTTATTGTGGTTTGAAAGTCTGGTACCTTAGTTTTGTGGCATATTCTCGTGATGATTGATGATAAGGAAAGGAATTCAATGTAAAGTCATTTTTTGCTTCTTCTCGACTGACTGAAAACTTATAAATACAGTTGAAAAAAACTAGGAAATTCCAATACAACTATTAAAAGGAGTATTATTTCACGTTGTAACAATTGAAACATGAAAATTTCACATTCAAACTGAAACCCACTTCCCCAGATGTCCATGGCTCAGTGAAAGTACAATGGCAATGGTCCATTTCAAAAACAGATGTCTGCAGATGGATCTTTCTGAGACGGGACTTATTTCATGCGATGATTTACCTACTGCCTTTTTATAAAGCAATCCAGCCGGAACGCAAGCCTCAATGCTTTGTCAGATAACATTAAAGTGATACTCCTCAGATGTTAACCCTGATTTTTGAGGCTTTGAACTTGTACTTTTTGGGGCTACATGCTGCATTTTGAGTGATATTGATTACAGGCTTGTTTTTAAATCCAACCTCTGGCTCAGAATGTTATCCTAATGCAACACTAGAACAAAAAAACAAAAAAAAATAGAGATTATTGAGAAATCTGCAGCTCATAAAAAAGTCCAGGTTGAAAAACTGCTTTGGAAAAAGATGAAACAAAGTTGATACGGGTGTTGTGTTGAGGGAGTGTGTTGACGTCATCGAAAGCTGCTCAGTCTGTGTGTGTATTTTAAATGTGTATTATTTTGAATTTAGTGTTTTAATAAATCATGTATTCATTGTTAATTTAGTTGGGGGAACGTCATCTTTGCTATCCACAATCTGAATCTGTTGAACTCACAAACACACACTCATTCACCTTGAACTATTGTCCATGTTTTTCTAGTGGTATAGGGGACACCACAATCTCCGCACAGCGCTGTCTGGAGGTGGATTCCAACCTATGAACTTCTTTCTGTGAGTAAGTATTTATGCCAATGACCTGTGTAATGCACCTACCTTGCTAATAATTGTATAAATGAATAAATTGGGCCATGAGGACAAACCGTTTTTGAATTTACAAAAAAAAAAATGGTTGAGATGGAAAGAGCACCAACGAACGACTGTGGCCACAAATTTATGGTATTATTTTATTTTAATTTTACAAATACAGTTACAGATGTCATATTTGTTACAGACGACAAATGCATGTTAAATAATGTTAATATTTTATGAACGTATAGGAACATAAATATGATGTTTCTATGCTGCTATTATTATTGTTATAATTAATCTTTTTATTATGATTTTTTTCTAGTAATATTCTGCAGTTGGTAGAGCATTGGCCTTTGAGCTTGAAAGTCCTACTTCATGACTCCCACGGATGTCTGCTGTCGTTGTGTCCTTAACCCCACTTTGCCTGAAGCCCCCGCTGAAAGATCTCAGCTCCTGTGGACTCACCACCTGCAGGAGGATCAGTGAGGGGCTGGTGCTCTGTGGACTGGATGCAGCTCTGACTGCCACCCCCCCGACCCAGAAATGGATTAAGGGGAAGAAAATGGATGGATGGAAAATTGATTATATTATCTATTATCTTCCATAATAATAATAATTGCTGTAATGTATGCAACTATGACTGACATTTTCGCACTGAGGGAAAAAATAAAGCTTATATTATAATGATAGTTTTCGCTGTAGAAGCCAAAAAATAAATCTAAATCTAAAAATGAGAGCGATACTGTAGCTTGTGTGTTGTCTGCATAGTAGAAAAGCCTTAACTAAAACATTCAAGTCATCCGAGAGTTGGCTGAAGTTGAGGTTTTATTTTTAATGCTACATCTAAATATCAAAGTGGTGCTTCAGATTCCAGATCCTTGCTCATTTACTATACATCAATCCAGCTCATTTTCTCAGTTGGAGAAATACAGGCGTAAAAACACGGGAGGAGAGATGGCCGTGCGGGGCAACAATGGAGTGTGCGAGGTTCATATCACATTCACGGTCCCCTGGCCTCAGATAAAAGGCACACAGAGGAAGTGCTGGTCATTAACATTCAGCCGCGCTGTCTTCCTCCAGGAGCCGGGGCCGAGGGGCTGAGGGGCTGAGGGAAGCAAGGAGAGTGAGGAATATCTAATGGGACGTATGATTCTGGCTGTTTTCCATATATGGCTCAGTGGGATATAGTTTTGTGGAAGGGCTGAAATGTGTGTAATTAGAATGAGTAGGAAGAATTGGTGTTAGTCAACGACTCTTCTGGCCACCTTGCAAAAGCCATGTTCCAGCTTCTTCCTTTTGGTAGATAGCGTTCGTTAAAAGGCAGGACATCTCGTTTTGCTAACAGCTTCCTTCCACAAGTTCTTTTCAGTTTGAACAAAGTACTTTAATTATCTTGAATTTGTGTTGAAACTCTTTGTTGATTGATTTCACCGTAAAAAAAAAAAAAAAAAAAAAACTGCCCTTTTTTATAATCTTGGTTTATTTCTGTACTTTTAGCTTGTTTTATTTATGTACTTTTCTGGTGCACACTGGGGACTTTAGCAAATATATTCCAACATTATGATTTGTATTTGTCATATTGGAGGAGTATTGATACAGGCAAAGCTTCCAAAAATGCTCTGTTCAGATGCGGGTATCTAAGCAAGTCAGGGCCTGGTTAGTCCCGTGATGGGAGACACTGTGGCTGCGGCTGGAGGCAAGACATCCACATTCAGTCTGGGGAGTCTGTGTGCATGTATGTGTGGCTATGTATGTGTGCGTGTGCGTGTGTGTGTGTGTGTGTGTGCGTGTGTGTGTCTGTGTGTGAATGGTTGGTGGAGGTTGGAGGGGCCGATAGTACTGAATAGTTGCCTGGCAGGTGTGGCTATAGTAGTAGTTTACCACCAGGGTGCATGGAGTGAATGAATAATGTCTTTATGTGTCATGAAAAGCGATATATAAGTACTGTACATTTTAAAAACCAGCTCTGTTACACAAAATTTGTTTAAAAGGATACGGCCATTAACAACAGGTGGTATTACACTTTGCACATTTTACAAGCCAACCATTGTTAACTTAGTAACCAGCTATTATTTATACGTGTTTTTTTCCCCAATGTTATTACAAAAACTTGAGTACATGTGACTGAATTGAGGAGAGTGAGAAGGGTGGAGTTCAAAATACAACACTAAGAATGAAATAAATCAATGTAATATCTGTTGGAACAAGTAAAAGAATGTCAACTTGCCATGCTTGACAAAAAGAATTATAACTTTGATTTGGAGCCATTATTTACTATCTACATGAAAGACCCATCTTCCTTCAGGCTTCTAACACCAATCACCTTGATAATCACTCAAATCTCTTGTGGCCTCTGCGCGTTTTACTCCCCGTTTGACTCCCATGCAGACCCACTGCTCTGAAGCTCCTCTACTGTAACTGTACTCACACCGCTCGCCGACCAAACAGCTGCGTTTTAACATAAATCATTTGCCTCGCTTCTGCCTGCTGGTCCCCTGAGGTCCGGAAACAAACTCTGTGTCGCCCAGTGCGAGCATGGCCCTCCAGATGTTTGCCCGCGGCCCGCACAGCGCACACGAGTGGGAGGCGGACCCCCAGCTGGGCTCCATGCAGAGGATGTCCCTAGGCGCGCGTGCATTGCAGAGGGACGGGCATGTACGCCATAGATAGGGATGCGAATGTAGAGGATGACGATATACGGGTATGTGTGTGTACAGAGCCCAAGGACAAGCCACTGTGGGAATCTGCTGGAGAAGATAAGATGGCTGCAGGGACTGTCAGCCTGTAGTGCAACCCAATATATGTGTTGAGAATATATGAAGAGTACTTACTTATTCCACGCTTGCCTCAGCTTCTTAGCGCTGTAAACTGTGAAGCGATCTGCAAGAGACAAAAATATGGAGAGGTTAGAGAGATGGGGAAACGTCATCTTTACTGAAATATTAAAGGTTTCTTTAGGGAAGGTTTGTTTTTAGCTCATCTGTTGCATTTGATTTCTGTTCATCATTTTTTTCCATATTTATCACCAAAATATTGCTTTTATTTTACCTTGAGTTTTAAATTTTTCCATACAAAGTGAGTGCATGCTTGGATTGAACCAAAACAAGAATCAAAAGGAGGAAAGACTTATATTATTATGAATTGCAATATGGATTCAACGTGCAAAATCAAATAAATTATGTTTTTCTTGAGAGAATGAGCTAGCATGATTACACAAGTATAAACCTTTTACCGTTAAGATTTGCAAGTTAGGGTTAAGTCCTATGTAATAGCCTTGTGTACCTCTAGAGGTCCTCATACCCTCAGTTGGGAAACCCTGTTGTATCACATGTTGTTGATGTTGACAATATGATTTGGTTTCTTGCTCTGAGAAGCAAATGTGCCGCTGCAACCTAAATTATATTGTCATATTTTGGAGTTGTGTTTTAGAAATGTGCTTAAAAGTAGTGTGTTTGTGTTTTCACTGTGTTCCGAACAATTCCCAAAACCATTTAAAATAGTTTTAAGATCAAACGAAGTGGTGTCAAAAATGCACTTGAAATATTCTTGATGTTCCATGTGTTCGAGGCTGTATTAAAAAGTCATATCCGTGAAGCTCTGTGGTGAGATGGGCTCATTAAACTGAGAATGAGAGCAGGCCAGAACTGCCGTGTGGAGGACACAGAGGAGCGAGGCGACTGCCAACTGTCCGGCTAATGTCCAGCGATACAGCCACCCAGAGAGAGGGGGGAGCTGGGGGACGTCTGAATAATCCACTATCCACCAACCGCAAGTGCCTGTCAAAGGTTCAGCGGCTGCCAGAAACCCAGAGTGCAGCGCCAAAAGTGGACACAGGGAGGCCCAGGGTATACAGCCAGAAATAGACCAGAAACAGAGAATACATGAGGAAATGTCTGACTCTTTTTTGCATGTTATTTGTCTTTACAAACACACAAACACACACACAAACTTTAGTCAGAGCACAGACGCACTTCACGTCATCTCCAAAATGGATTTCTGTGATTGTATTTATTTTACTGGAAATATCGATATAATCCATAGGTGTTGTTCCTTATTGTGGTGTTTTCTATTTGATTCAATGAACAAGTAGCTGGAGGACTAAATATTCTGACAAAAAAAAAAGGCCTTTACTAATACAATAGTAAAAATGTGCAATCATACTGTGTAGAGTTTACTAATTTATTATTTTAGATATATATTCTGTATTTGACCAATTCAAATTTTCCTACTGTCTATAATACAGTGCATTGCAACACAGAAATGTCCCCACTGTGGGATGAATACAGGTTCTCTTATCATATATTTTTCTTATAGTACCAAATATCAACACTTTGCTAATTCTTATTGTCAAGAAATAATAACATTACTGATCATGAGATGAATATATGTACTGTAACACATTTGTGGTGGTAAAATGCCTGGGTCAATAAACAGGTGGTACTCTAAAACTGGTGCAAGACTGCCCTCTGGTGGACTCCTCTCAGCTTGATGAGGATTCTTGCATTATTTCTAAAGTACAGTTTCTTTGAGTGCAGCATAAATACGAGGCATGTTTATTATTCTTATCATGGGGATCACATTTCACTGGACAGATTGTAATTGGCCACAAGAGATGGGATGAGGTCGCGCTTGTGTGATGCTTCTACGACTGTCCCAGGACATCACTCAGACCCTCCTAGTGTACCCCTGTCAGCTGTAGTTCTCACTGCCTCTGTTCACGGAGCGTCTAAAAGGCCTAATGAGCTCCCAGAGGGCGCCACATGCTCCTCTGCCATGGTTCCACAACACACACGCACACGCGCACACACAAACACGCACAACCCCCTCAGCCCCTGTACCCATCATCATACCTCTGATTTAACACTCAGCTGCTGGCACTTGTCCCTGTCTGTGACTGTGTAGAGAGTGCGAACAAAGATGTCTCTTCTAACTTCAATCAGCAGAACTTGGACTAAGGATTTCCACCGTGATTTACAAAGTGACTGCAAACCCAGGATCGCAGGCAGCCAGTGTTGTTTCGTCTTTTGTCTAATTTTTGCATAAACCTATATATATATATGTCATGTTATTTGCTGTAGCAAGAGCTCTGGTGTGTGCTCTGGTCCTCTGTCAATTTCAACTCGGTCAAATGTGAATCCATTCTGTCTGCATTGCTAAAGTGGCCCAACAAAACATTACATTTGGTGATAGTGAAACTGTACATTTTACCTATTCATTGTTTGATAATTAAAATGTCTGTATTTTATTTAACTCATTGAATGCCAGCCTATTTCAGAACAGGTACTCCCACAGTGCCAGCCATTTATGATGATTTTTACTGATTTTTCAAGACCCACAGAATATTGTGTACTATGACTATCTGAAATCCGACACCAGATTCTAAAAGAATGGACTGTCTACTTTCCTCAGCAAAAAGAATTTTGTTTATAGCTTTTTTCGTTCCCCTGTAATCCTCCGTTGAGTAGAGGGAAGTTTTACTGAAATCACCAGAAATCACCAGAAAGTTGAGAAAAAAGAGGCACAACATGTGCACCTACATGTTTTCAAACCATTCAGAGAGAAATGCTGCCACCTGTTGGCTCGATAAAATATGGTCTCAAGTCATCCCCATACATATTAGATACAATAGACATCTGGGAACGTGAAAATAGCGAAAAATTAATGCGTCAATGGCACACGACGTTACTATTTGCTTTGACGTATTTGTGCGTCAATGGGACACAATGAGTTAAGTTATTTCAAAAGTGGTAGATCATGGAATATAATAAACAATATCTCATGCTTGAATACCAACATTTTGATAATATCATACAGTCTGATAAGTATTGTAATACATTATGTTTGGGGTCTGTTAGCTGCATTATATGTATTACAATGGCAAAAACCAAAAGAAAGCTTCACCAGGAGTAACATATTGTATACTCTAAAAGATTTACAAACACAATAATCTGAAATTATTTGTACTAAAAAAGTTTTAACCTGGCTTGAAGTGAGGCAATGAGTTGACACCAGGCCAAGTCTCTTCAGAAGGAGTTCCCAGCACCTAGAACAGACACAAACAAGTGTTTTACAAATCCATCAATATTCACATTATAATTACTGTGATGCAATTGTTTAATTCTAAAGCTGGGGTACCTAACTTTCATACCACAACACACACTGGTATGTCACTACACATGTAATAAAATCCATCTTAATAGTTCTTGAATCTCAAAACAGCTTGACAAAAAGTGACTCTCAAGGCTTTTATGTATGCAAAAAATAACATGTTTTCTCATAAGATGAAGACAGCATGTTGATTTGATTTGACATTTTACTCTTACAAGACTCTTCTGAAGTCTGAAAAAAGTATATTATTATTATCAGTAGTATAAGTTATCTACCCCAGCTTTAATGGAACGAAAGACCATAACTTCTGCCATGCTTTACTTCTCCAGGGAGGGGCCCCGCTGCTTGAACAACAGTTGGATAGAATAGATATTTTATGGAAATGCTGTCCGGGCTCTCACGCACTCAGCCGGGGTTTATGATGAGACAGAGCAGAGCAGCGGACATGCCTTCTACATGATCCATCTCACTCTGCAAAGTAATCGTTTCCAGATCCAGCGGCTGTTTCCAGGCTGCTTACGAAAGTACCGGTTTGGACTTCAGCTGCGAGAAGGGCGGGGGGCTGTGATGTCACCCATGTCAATAAAAGTAAACACATATTGTATGGGAAATTGGTAATGCAAGGAACGATCTGAATATTCTTAATGTAAATAACTTTATCAGAGAAGTAGCCTGGTCTTAACATGACTAAGGCTATCATGGATGTATGTATGTATTTGGCCTCTGTCACATCCTTAGATCAGATTTTTCAGTAAAACGAAGCCCTCACTTGGCCAATCAACTCGCAGTATGTAAAGAAAAAAAAGGTTTAAAAAAAAAAAAAAAGGGTTAAGATACCATAATGTTGTGGTCTAATTTGTTCACAAAAGGTTACAATACTCATTCTGTTGGGACAAATAAAATGTATTTATGAAACAAAACAAAAAAGGTGGGGTAAACAACTGAGTCTGAAACGATAACATAAGCACACATGACACAGAATGTATAAATGCGGAACCACTGACCAATACTAACACCAGTATTTTCATATTTTCCAAAATAATTATGTAAGTTGATGCAAATCAGATAATTTTTATATTAAGTATCTCTATTTACATTTATTTCACATTGACCATATTTTAATCAAATGGACCTTTCCCGATTATGTTGTAATTAATATTGTAATACCTATAATGTACCACTAGAGGGCGGTAGAACAGTATGGAACAGCCAGAGTCAGGCTTAGGACTTGTAAAACAAAAACAAAAACATATGTAAAATGAGACAAATAAAAAATAATACAAAATAGGGCTATACATATTTTCTACAGCTGAGTTGCAAAGGTTTTGTTTGACAGATAAGAAAACATGTGTTTAGAATCTATTGGCACACTCCATGTACACTCCATCTGCCTCTCATTATGAAGGCTATTACAGAGGTCAGTGGCACTAAACTTGATGTGTGAAGGACATAAAAAAGCAAAGTGAGTGTCCAAGACCCTACAATAAATGAAGTACTTATTCCTTCCATTCTAAACCACAGAAATCTCTCTTTTCTTTGATGATTTAAAACCACAAGAAGCCATTTTTTCCTGTGTACTCTCTGGCCACTTGTTGTGAATGTAAATAAGTTAGAGACCACATTAGCAAGTCTTGTCTCAGTGCACATGTAAAACCCACCTGCATACTGATGCCCAAGGGTGTTAATTGGTGTCAGACATGGTTTGGGAAAACAAGAGGACATTGCTATAAGTAGTGATCAAAGTGGTTTTAGACGCTGTGCTTTGTTTGTGGTTGTTCAAAAGTGACCGCCCACTTGTGATTCAAGATTTAAGGAGTTTAATTTGTTATTTGTGCACAAACAGAATCCAAACACAAAGGGATTTCTGTGCATGGCTCACAGATGAAGTTAAAAGTTAAAAGCATATACAGTACATAGATTAGTAAAGTTATGTAGGTGAAAAAAACACATTAAATACATTAACGGAGATGATTTATTACATATTATGCTGAATCGTTTTTGAGCATTTAACCATGTTGCAACATTCTTCCCTTGTTTTTATCCATCCTTGCTAACATCAGAAAAGTAACTCCGCTCCTTCTGTCTAAAAGCTCCAGTCTCAGTCCTGTAACAGTATGATGTCATTGTACCACTATGACATCATACCCAGTGCAGTTTTCTACCTTTTAAAACAGAGGTACTGCCCATAAATTAGTTTTGGAAATTTATTTACAATGTTCTTTGCCATCACATGTCGGTTTACAGACAATTATATACAAATTTTAATAAAAAAAAAAAAAATCTAGACTTCCCTCTGGTGGTAGCATCAGGATAGGACAAGCCGATAGCATTATTTACCTTTCATACTTGTTCCATACTATGTTCTAAGATACTATTACACATTCTAAAACATGAAATGATCGAGTACATATTGTCATTATTACTTTATATGTTTATCAAGAATGGTGCATTACATTTCTTCTTTAACACATGACAGATTCTAGTATATAACCCCATTAATTTTACTCGAAGTTTCAAGGGGAATAGAATTTTATGCAAAAAAATAAATAAAAAATACTTCTACTAATAACTATGACCTTTGCCCAATAAAAATACACCAAAAACATTGTCCTTGCCGCCTAAGTCCTCCCATGGCCGTATGTGTTTCATGGAGGAAGTTGTTTCAAAGCCACCAATACAACATCTTGAGATAAAACAGATCTGCATGTTTAGGCTATAACATTTGTTTTGCTGATACCGAAGTGTAAACAGCAAAGAAAAAACCGAAGTGGGAAAACAACCGAGAAGAGGGAAAGGAAATGTGTTCATCATGTTGGGCACAGAAGTGGAGAATTTTAGGATCTAAATAATTCAAAAAAACACATCTGGGAGCTTTCGTCTTAAATGCCACTGTCAACTGGTCATGCAGCGATTCAAAAGTGTATTGTTTCTTCTGTGAGTTGTTGACTAAGGAGAATAAGTAGAAAAGAAACAATCTATTTAAAAAAAAAAAAGAAGTAGACTTCAGAGTGATCTTTCGGCCTCCACAGGTGAGCTGTCTGCAGCAGCGGTGGTCTGGATGAGTTATTGCCGCAAGAAGAGCAGAGGGAGTGTGAAGAGGTGATGGCCTGAGGTCGGCTGCATTATTAATGAAACACAGAGTGGCTTTAGCCAGAGAGCACAGGTAGCGGCGGGCTGAGGGGGAGGGGGAGGAGGAGGGGGAGTGGGTGTTGTGGGGTTTGGGGTGGTAAATGTGAAGTGCAGTACAGCAACTTATCGCACATTTTTCATTATATTATCTGCACCATTTTAAAGGTTCTGCACCGGCTCACAGTTCAGGTCCAGGTTGTTTTTTGAATCTTTCTACTTGTTTATGCCCTCAACAATCTGGCAACCTCATTCATCTCTGAGGGTGCCTTATCTTCCTCCGATCTTCACCTTTTGCCGTCCCTTGAGTGAAGCAATAAATTGGACAATCTGCGTTCTCCCATTATGCTCCCTGTAAATTGAAGCACTAACTGCCACTACTGTCTTTAAGACTAAACTAAAGACTCACTTGTTCAGACATTTTTTTCTTTTGATTGTGCCCTTCTCTCTTCTATGTCTTCTTATGTTTTGTTTTGGAGCACATTGAGTTGCAGTCATTTATGACAAATACAAATGCATGTGTCTTCTTCATATTTTGTTCATCTAAATCAGTGTCTCCCAAAGTGGGGTCCGCGGCCCCCTGGTGGGCCGCGAGGGTACTGCAGGGGGGGCCGCGGGAGGTCATAAAAAAAATAAAAAAATAATATAATTATTTAATGTTAAATTTATAATGTTTTGTTTGTAATATTAAAATATTTGTGTTCATTATTTGACTTGAATAATCCACTGTAATCATTTTTGTATTACAATGTTTGTAGCAGAGGCTATTTCCCCAAAATAAAATAACCAGAAGAGCCTATTCTTAATGTTGTCTTCTTGGTTATTATTTTGGGGGGCCACGCAAACCCGTCAGATTTTTAAGGGGGCCTCGGTGTTACTGAGTTTGGGAATGGCTGATCTAAGGTAAAGAAACAACCCAGTGATATTTTAATTATCTTGCGAGAAGTAGCAATGTTGGTTTGTTACTGAATAATTCAACATGTATGCAGCCCTCTATGATAACACTACAATTTTGATGCTGTGATGTATCCCCATATTTGATTTTGGATTTCAAAACGAATGACCAGTCTATGGAGGCATCTCTCAACACAAGTGATGCATGACTCAGTTGGGTTCAGCCCATCTCGAAGCACGTGAGGCGTGTGCAGACACTGACAGATCAGAGAGAGTGAATCGCAGTGGAATTTCTCACAGGTCAAAGTCCAAGACTCCAAACTCACAAGTGCACATTCTTCTGTACGTACACGCCCCCATCCCCTGCCGGATCTGTTACCGACCACCCACCCGCAAAGACACACATGACCTCAGCACAAGAGCGGAGGAGATTTTTATTCACCCGACTCATGAAGACAAGTTCAAAGATAAAGGAGACATTAAGTCATAAAGAGTGATCGTCAATACCATCCAAGGCTCATTATTATATACTGCATTTAGGACATTAGAAAACAATGTAACACAAGGAGGCACACTTCCATATTGAGTCCCTCGATATTGATTTGTGTTCTGCCACTAGATACGACTTGATTGGATATCTATCTATCAATCTATAAAATTAACTAAAAATCCATACATTCATTCATCAATCTGAAAAACCAATATTCCCCATCCCATTGCAAGTATGTGCCAACTGTCTTTTGCTGTCAGTCATCCATGGCCTGCTTTCTTTTGCTACTCAACCTTTCACCTCCTGTGACACACTATGGCCTAGTGGTTAGGTTAATGTCTCTCTCCACTCTTCAACCCCCAAATAAACCAAATAGCATGATGATGCTGTAAAAAAAAAAAAAAAAACACATTATAACTCATTTG